CCCCCCCCCCAAAAAAAAAAAAAAACCAACCATGGAACCAGGGGTTGGGGATTCAGCTCAGTGGAAGAACACTTGCTTGGCAAGTGCAAGAAAAGAACCACAATGGGGGCTGGGAAGGTGGCTCTGGTAGAGCGCTTGCCTTGTATGCATGAGGCCCTGAGTTCGATTCCTCAGCACCACATAAGCAAAAAAGAAAAAAGCCTGAAGTGGTGCTGTGACTCAAGTGGTAGAGCGCTAGCCTTGAGCTGAAGAGCTGAGGGACAGTGCCCAGGCCCAGAGTTCAGGCCCCACGACTGGACCCAAAAAAATAAATAAAAAGAACCACTATGGAACATGGAGATACAAGTTTGGAACATGGAGTTCTAAGTTTGTTTCTTTTCCATCCAGAAACATTTATGGACCACAGCTTCCCTAGGGAACATGGTATAGTGCAGCCAAAAAAAAGAAATTTCTGGAGCCATGTCAGAGATAAGAGTGCCTGCCTAGCAAGTTCAAAGCCCTGAGTTCTGACACCAGTATAGCCAAAAATAAAAGAGGATAGAGTTGGGGTTTAAAAGCTTAAGAGGTTCTTAGCAGGAATATGAGATGACATACCTGTGACATTCCCTTTATAATGCTTAAATCTCCCCTCCTTTCCAGATGATATTTCAGCCTAGGACTAACCCAAATGCCTGGCAAATGCCCCCAGTACAGTCAAACTGAGTTGGCATATTTTTTGTCAGTAGTGGGGCTTGAACTCTGGGCTTGGGCGCTATCCCTCCACTCTTCAGCTCAAGACAAGTGCTCTACTGCTTGAGCCACAGTGGCTTTTCCGGTTTTCTAGTGGTTTATTGGAGATAAGAGCCTCAAGGACTTTCCTGCTTGGTCTGGCTTTGAACTGTGATCCTCAGATCTCAGCCTCCTGAGTAGCTAGGATAACAGGTGTGAGCCACTAGCGCCCGGCTGATTTGGCATACTATATAGGGCAGAACCCTTTCTCCTGGGTCATGAGCCTTCCCACATACCACTACTGGGAACTGCTGCATAAGTCTCTTGGAGGCCACAATGACCCAAACACGAGTTTGGGGAGAGGGGAGGGAAGGTAGACCACTCACTGCCTGCACGGTGTCTGTGTTTCCCTTGGAACTGTCTTCCTCTGGATGGGCCCTCAGGCCCTTGGGCTCCTGCTGGGGCTCAGTGATTCTGCATGAGGAGCCCCCACTTTTAGAGCCCCAGTTTTCTTCATTGTCCCTTGTCGCTGCAGAGTTAGTAACCAATAACCAAGTTTACAGGGCCCAACGAGTAGTGATGGGATCTCTAGGGCTCCAGGTGGATGGGGGGCGCTCTGGCTCCCTGCTGAGGGAGCCAGGCTATCCGGTGACAACGCCACAGGAAGAGCCAGAGGGAATGGAGAAGAGGTGCATTCTGGGGAGGAGAGGCTTGCAGGCAGGGAGCCTCTAGGATCCCTGGCATCTTGAGGCGAGTATAAAGTGGACACAGGCGAGGGTGACTACCTGTAGACTGATCCCTCTGCTGGTCGATGTGCTGCAGACTCTCCAGCAGGCCGTCCACCTGGGCTCTGATCTGGCTCAGTGCCTCCCAGATGGAGTGCAGCTCGGCAGTGTGCACTGCTGGAAGAGAGGCTAGAGTTGGTACTCATGCTGGGCAGGGGCCACAGGCACAGGGGGACCCGCCTTCACTTTGGGTGACACTGCCCAGTTCCTCCCTAATTCTACAGGCAAAGTCTGAGCCCTGTCTCTCACACTTTATCTGCCTGGGAGGCAGGTGGCTATTCCTGGAGGCTTTGTAGGGGCTCCGGCTGCTCTTCACCCCCAGGCTCACAGGAGTCCTCCGAATCTTGGTAGGCACTTGCTTGATGAGTGGGGGGATCCTCTGGTATCCATACACCCTAAATGGACAGGATGGAGCGATAGTCAGGTCATCCAGCTCCACGTGCTCCATTAGAGGACCCAGGGGACAAGACTCACCCACCTGTAGGGGATGCCTTCTCTGTGCAGCTCATAGTTTGGATTATAGTTACTGCAGAGACAAATGGGAAGGAAGGGGAGGAGTCATGTCCAGGGCCAGAGTCTCTGCTTGGGACCCAGCTGAACTTGGGGAAACAAGCATGCAGCAATCCTTCAGGATGCCAGGATGCTCCACTAGAACTCCCAGGAACTTGCCCATGATCCCAGCAAACCAGCGTCCTCCTGGCTGGTTTCTGATAAGTGCTACCCCCAGTCCCTTCTAGGTAGCAGAAGGGGAGCCATGGCCTCTGGATGTCTGGCCAGTCAGCCTGGACCTGCCTGCCACTCAGCTGGGGCTAGTCAGCTGGGGAATGGCAGGCACTGCTGACATCCTGGATCTTAGACTGGCAAAGGATGAAAGGGAAGAGTGAAGTCACAACCCAAAGCTACAGTGGGGGTGTGAGAGGCGTTAATCCCGCCATGGCGATTGCCAGGACAAGCGGGGCCCAACACAGGCAGGGCCCGCAGGCAGGGTTGGGGCTGGAGCTGTAGCCAGACCACCCGCCCCTTTCCAGCAAGCCGTGGAAGCTCTGGAAAGGTCCCAGGCCCACTGTGGCGCGCTCAGCCCTTCTAGCCCACACTCCGGAGGCGGGGGGGGGGGGGGGGGGGGGGGGGAGAGAGGGAGAGGGAGGAGAATCGGTGTCCCAGGATCGTAGAGATAACTGGCACGAAGAGCCTGCGGGGACACCCGCTGCCGGGGACGGGGACGAGCTGGGGGCGGGCGGAGGCTGCTGGGGAGAGGGGATCCAGTTTGGAATACCTTTCTGATTCTGGGGTGCCGGCCCGGCCCGCCCGTGCTGCAGGGTCCTCAGAGCGGCCGGCGGGCGGACCGGCCGCCCCCACGGCTGGCTTCTGGAGCTCTGGGGGGCGGCCCGGAAACGCTTGGCGCGGCTGATTCCGGCCGCGGAGGGAGGGGAAGGAGCCGCGCAGCCGCAGGCGGGAGGGTGGGATCCCTCCTCGGGGTCGTGGGGCACTTCCCCGAGGGGAGCAGCGGCCAAGACGGGCGTCTGAGGACCGCGAACCCTTCACTCTCGGGGCGGTGACCTCTTCAGCCAATGCCGTGGCTGGGATGAACCACCTGAGTCTTCCCGTGAGAGGCAAAACCGTCTCAGCATTGGTGGTTCAGTGGTAGAATTCTCGCCTGCCACGCGGGAGGCCCGGGTTCGATTCCCGGCCAATGCACAAGTGCCTCTTTTGCTTTTACCCGGAGTACCTTTCTTGTTTGTTTTATTTTATTTTTTTTACTCGTTCTTTGTCTCATTCCGGTTTGCACTGTCCTAACTAGCTAGAGATAAGCGTGTAAAGTGAGAGAGAGCAAGCAGGCAGGGTGCGTGCACTTCAGCGGCCCTCTCGCTGTGCCCCAGGGCTGAGGGCCCGGCTTCTTTCGCAGTATTTGAGAACTAGAACCCTCCCTTGCTCTTTGTTCCCCAGGGGAAATGGCCTGTCAGATAGTGGTTGAAGTCTGCAAGAACTTCCCACTAAAAGAGAAGCACCACCACAGCAGAAATAGCTCTGGGGGCCGGAACCATATCTCTTCAAGAGTCCTCAAGGTGACCATGTGGGGCAGAAGGGAACGTGTGGGGGCCAATCCTTCCACCACAATTCTCACCTACTCAGCAGCCCCAACCAGCGCAGTGAAAAGCCTCTCACTCTTGGACTCCTCGGGATGACGCCCACTCAGGCCACTGCTGGCAGGAAGGGATTTGACCTAACCACCTTTGAAATCGAGCTGGAGATACAGAGGCATCTCAGAGTCACCCTTTGCCCGGCCCTGCCACCCCACTTCCAGGAAGATGAGCTGAGACCATCTCCAAGAGTAACTAGAACCATGGCATCGCCTGTTAGCAGCAGTGTTGCTCACCCGGTGTCCGCCTCCTCCCCTCACAGCAAGGTCGAAACCACCCAATCCTCAGGATGGTGGCTGGATTTATCAGTTAGAAATGGTGCTAGAGCCAGGCAGTGGTGGCTTATGTCTGTTACCCTAGCTATTCAGCGGTTCTGAGATCTGAGGATGATGGTTTGAAGCCAGCCCAGGCAGAAAAGACTGAGGGACTCTTATCTCCAAATAACCAACAAAAAGAAGTGGAGCTGTGGCTCAAGTGCCCAGCCTTAAGCAGAAAAAGCCAAGCAAGAGCATGAGACCCTAAACTCAAGCCTCAGTACCAGAACATACACACATACTCACACAGAGAAAAAAAGAAGAAAGAACAAAATAAAAGGGTGCTAGAATGTGCTGAAAAAACTCCCTTCAGTTTACAGACAAAACTTAGAGATGAGAGACCTACTCGTTCTCCTATGGGCAAGCAGATTTAGGGGTCCTCATTCCATTTCAGGGGAACTCAACTGGGAAATTCAAACAAACCAGCAACCAGCCTCCCTTGCCAACAAGCTACGAGTATAGACTCACCAGAAAATGTCTGTGTCCTGCTGCCTCTTCTGGCTAGGCCGGGCTGGGCCAGGTCTGGATTCTCCAGCCATATCTGTATCTAAAGAGAGAACAGGAAAGTGAGGCAGAGGGGAGAGGACAAATGAAGGGGAACCGGAGAGAGGGCCCTGTGTGCATGGAACCTAGTCCTGTGACTCAGCTTTGGAGGAGACAGAGCATCAGTCCATAGTAGGTTTCCTGGCTTGGCCTCAAAGAGGTCTGGTCCCCCACCTCGAGCTGGAGTCTGATTCTATGAAGTCATTCTGGACATCTTCCTAGACAAAGGTAAATGGTCTCCACTGAACATTACAAAACAAAAGGGGTCTCCCCATTTTCTTCAGACTGAACCCAAGATCAGCATCAGCCCCATTGCCCAGGCTTCAGAATTTGGGGTGGTACCATTAAAAGGCATTCTTGTCCTTTGAGAAGATACTCTGCTCCAGTCCGGGTTAATTCTCCAGTGTTCTCTTGCCTCCTGCCCAGGACTGAGAGCTTCTCTCCAGCCACTCTCAGGCTGTCCTGCCTGTGCACCAAGCCCCAAGCCCACGCCTTGCACCTGTCCTGTGCTAAGCCCCTGTTTGCTGGCTACTACTGAGAACCAATGCGGCTCAGAGCTAGAAGCACCTTTTTCAAAACAATCTCAAGTTCACAAACTTGTTTTCAGACCAACAACTTTCCAGACCTAGGTTGTTTAACTTAACTCAAGAGAAATTCAGCACAGAAAGGTGGAGGGAATCACCCAACTCTTTGGTGATTGGAAAAGCCAGTAATATTTTATGAAACTCCACTGAAGCAAGTGTGTATGTGTATGTGTGTGTGTGTGTGTAAGTCCTGAGGCTTGAATTCAGGGAGTGGGTGCTGTCCCTAGCTCAAGGCTAATGCTCTACCATTTCAGCCACAGCTCTACTTCTGGCTTTTGATGGTTTATTGGAGAGAAGAGTCTCATGGACTTCCTGCCTGGGCTGACTTGGAACCATGATCTTCAGAGATCAGCCTCCTGAGTAGCTAGGATTACAAGCATGAGCCTCCAGTGCCTGGATCCACTGGAGCAAAGTGAATAGATTTGAAATTCAAATTTAAAGCCCCTACCCCTAGCCCCCTCTTTTTTTTTCTGGTCGTGAGGCCTGGGCGCTGTCCCTCAGCTCTTCAGCTCAAGGCTAGTGCTCTACCACTTGAGTCACAGTGCCACTTCCGGCTTTTTCTGTTTATGTGGTGCTGAGGAGTCGAACCCAGGGCCTCATGGATGCAAGGCAAGCACTCTACCACTGAACCACCTTCCCAGCCCCCCTTGCCCATATTTTATTTGAAGGTTTATGTGGAATTTTATGGCTGCCACTTAAGCATATGATGCTCAATGTTAGGAGGAAAATATTATTTCTTTTGTTGTTGTTGATACAGTACTGGAAACCAGCAATAAAACTTTTCACACTGAGATTTAAGCTCAAGGATTTGCACTTGTAAACACTCTAACCATGTGAACCACAACTCTATCCCTTTTTGCTTTAGGTCATGGGGCTTGAACTTGGGGCCTGGATGCTATCCCTGAGCTCTTTTGCTCAAGATTAGAGCGCTACCACTTTGAACCACAACACCACTTGCTGTTTTCTGGTAGTTAATTGGAGAGAAGAGCTTCACAGACTTTCCTGCCTGGGTTGGCTTCAAACTGTGATCCCAACCTCCCGAGTAGCTAGGATTACAGGCTTGAGCCATCAGCACCTGGCTTGGGTTATTCTTCAGATAGCCTCAGACCATGATTTTCCTGCCTATGTCTCAATATAGTTGGAATTACATGCATGAGCTATGGTACTCAGCATCAGGAGACATTTTAAAGACGAAAATACAAAGGAGCCATAGGTTCTGCATATCAGTTCCTACTGGATGTCCTGTCTCGAAGTCCTGGCTGATGCACCAGCAATTTCATGTAGTGGAGGTGTCATTCTCTTTTGGCTGTCCCACAGCTGAACCTTCTTCCTCTATTCTCCATATCCCCAAATGTTGAGACAGAACTTTACATTTTCTGCCCTCCTTTCCTATCATTCCTGCAGCTACGACTAGGTACTATGCTAGGTAGCATAACTCTTCCAGGCAAAACCACAGACCAATTCTGAGTTAAAACTGCTGCTGGAAAGAGGCAACACTTTGGCAACTGGTGTCAGCAACAGCACCATCAGCTTTCAAAGATGGTGGCATCTTTGTCCTGCTTCGGTGGTGCCAGCTGTGGTTTTTGCCCATCAACTCTGCTGCATGAATTCTTCCAGATCTTATTCTTCTACCCTTGAGTCCATGGGCACTAACAAGTATCTTCTTCTGAGCTCTTGTTTCTGCTTAATTGCCAGAATTTTCTGTGGCTTAAAGCCAAGAATTTTTTGTTCATACCAAAATAGGACCAGGAGTGAACGCAACAAGAAGGTCTGAAGGAAGCTGGGACAAGCTAAGGTTAGTAGGTGGCCAGACCACAGACAAAATCCAACTAGTATTAAGAGACAGGATGTCAGCAGCCTGTGAGGTGCCATGGTGAGACAATTAATCCTGTGATCCCCTAGAACAAAGCGCCCATCAAAGGCAAGGCTTTGAGGGACCCAGTGGCTCCTGCCTTAGAAGCTTACAAAGATGACACTGAAGCCAGTGTGATCAGTGTGGCTCAGACACCTGTAATTCTAGCTTAGGAGGCTGAGATAGGAGGATCTGAGGATTGAGGTTGGAAGCCAGCCCGTGCAGGAAAAGTCAGTGAGACTCTTAACTCTCAATTAATCAGCAAAAAGCTGGGAACAGGTGTGGCTCAAGTGGTAGAGTATTATTCTGGTGTGAAACAGCTCAGACACAGTGTTGCCCATGGGGGGGCGGCAGTCCTGAGTTTGAGGCCCACCTTCCAGCAAGGGGCACACACGGGGCCTTCCCCCGACCCTGGAGAGGTGCACACGGCGTCTGACCCTGGGCTGATACCCATAAAGGGCCCACTAGGCGGCACGCCACCTTCCACCAGAGGCCCGCGGATGGACATGGACGAGGTAGCGAAGGTCAGGTCACCAGGTGACAAATACAAGCAGTGGCAGGGACATAAGAGCCAGCAGGTGGGAAGCTGGTGTGGGCGGGGCTCCGAGGGGGCGTGACTAGGTTTGTGATGGGGCCCCGCCCGGCAGAAAGGGGGCAGGGTCTAGGTGTCAAGGATGCGCATGCGTCCTCCTCTCCCCCCCCTTTCCCCCACTACATGAACTTGGAAGTGGTACCCGGAGGCCCTAGGCATCCTGGGGCGATCCTATGGAGAAGTCACGTCCCGCATCCGGAGGGCAGAGTTGAGGCCCATGTCTGACTACCAGACAGGACCAAGGTGGGAGAGCCAGGGGCCCCTTTTGTCTCCTACGAGGCAGCAGGCCTGGAAGCCTGAGGCTTCCCACGGTAGGGCCCTCCCATCCCATCGCCAGGAAAAGGTTACGGATTCGATGCTAGCCAGACGGTGCTTTCTTGGATGAGTCACTCAACCACTCTCTGCCTCCTTTTCTTCAACTGTAAAATGTAGATAGTAGTACTCCCTTCTCAACGAGATTGTGTGAGAGATGTGTTCACAGATGACCGGTGTTGATTACTGAGTCTGACACATGGTGTTTTATTACTGCCAGCTATGATGTTTGAGGAGCTGGAGGAGGGAGTGGACTATAGATTCTGATTGTACTTTCAGCTCTGATGTGAAAGCACTCCACACACACACACACACACACACACACACACACACACACACACACATCAGTGAGGGAAAGAGTGTGATCTTCTAAACTACTGAGTAGTCTAAAACATCCAGAAGGGCCTGGATTATAAGGTGAGGAGTAAAGGAACAAAGGAAATAGGATAAGCCCCTTTGATTTTCCCAGGATCCTCCTGGGTCACAAGCAATTGCCAATCATCTGATTCATAACTTAGTTTAATCTCTTGCAGGATGCATTACCCAAAAAGCTCCAGTTGCCCTAGATGGAGGAGAGTGGCCTCTTCTGGCCACTGGCTATGGCTTCTGCTTCAGCGTCTTGTTGAAGCCATCTCACCAATCAAGGTAAGCTGAGGGTCCCAGGCTGTCCTTTTACACCAGATTCCTCTACGATCCCTTCTTCACAGGATTCACTAGCACTTCCGGTTCCATTTCCTTATCCTTCATGGTCTGAGATTTTGTTGGATGTGAGATATGCAATCCTAGCTGGGCCCCTGTTCCTCATAAGTGAGCAGTCAGGCAAGGAGGGTTGATGCATCCCAGGGCTGGCAGTAGAGATGTGTGGCCATCCTCAGGGCCCTGGGTTCCATCGTGAAATGTGCTCCTCTGCTGAAAAGGAAGCAGCGCACAATAAGGTTTGATGGCAGCCCAGGAAGTCCTGGAATGAGAACCCTGCTACACTCAATCTGGAAGTACCCACAGCCATGATTCTTTGGGGAGCTCTAAATCCTTCTAACAGGTGCTGGGACCTGGTTCTGGGGCAGATTGTACCCCTGCCCTCCACCATAGTTAAATGGTCTTTTTTTTTTTTGAGGGGGGGAGGTCAGTTGTGGGGCTTGAACCCTGGGCCTGGGCACTGTCCCTGAGCTCTTCAGCTCAAGGCTAGTGCTCTACCACTTTGAGCCACAGCACTACTTTGGGTTTTCTGGTGGTCAATTGGAGATAAGAGTCTCATGGAAGTTGGGCACCTGTTGTTCACGCCTGTAATCCTAGCTACTCAGGAGGCTGAGATCTGAGAATCTCAGTTCAAAGCCAGCCTGGGCAGGAATGTCTGTGAGACTCTCATCTCCAATTAACTACCAGAAAACTGGAAGTGGCGCTGTGGCTCAAGCGGTAGAACGCTCACTTTGAGCTGCAGAACTGAGGAACAGTGCCCAGGCCCAGTGTTCAAGCCCACGACTGATTTAAAAAAAGAAAAAGAGGGCTGGGAAGGTGGCTCAGTGGTAGAGCACTTGCCTTGCATGCTCGAGGCCCTGGGTTCAATTCCTCAGCACCACATAAGAAAAAAGCTGGAAGTGGTGCTGTGGCTCAAGTGGTAGAGCGCTAGCCTTGAGCTGAAGAGCTGAGGGACAGTGCCCAGGCCCAGAGTTCAGGCCCCACGACTGGACCCAAAAAAAAGAAAGAAAAAGAAAAAGAGTCTCACAGACTTTCTTGCCTGGGCTGGCTTTGAACCACCACGATCCTCAGATCTCAGCCTCCTGAGTAGCTTGGATTAAAGGCATGAGGGCCTGGCTAACTGGTCTTTATGCAATCGGGGAACATAGGAAAGAACCCTTGGAGAAATCCCCAACAAAATGTGGTTCCAGTCCTGGCTTTGCTTTGACTTGCTATGTGATGCTGAGCCTGCCTCCTCCCTCTGGGCCTCAGACACTTGCAGGTAAAAGTTCCTAAACAGGACATCCTCTGTGGTTCTATGTGCTCAGAGTCTGTGCTGTGACCTGACTATAGCAAGGGTCAGGAACCGAAAGAGAGGAACTGAGGGAAGGTGGCCTTACCAAACTGGCAGATATAACGGTTTCGAGTTTTACAACGTTGGTCATTCCAGTTGAAGGCAGTGGATGCCTGCAGCTCCACACAGTTGCCAAATCTGCCAGACCAGGATAGACAGTGCTCAGGGTGGAGGAAAGAGTTCAGGAGACTGAACTCTTAAACCCTCCACCTCATGAGCCCAACTATATCTGCGAGTCCCACATGTCCCTGAGCTGCAGATGGAGCTACCAGGAGCCGGGCCCACCCCCAAGCTTTTGTGATGCTTTTAGGCTTGGCCAGGCAGGTTGAGTTGATTCTTCATAGGTTAAGAAGGGGACCCAGCGGAGGACACAGTTAACCCACACTCACCCCTGGTTGTCAGGCTGCCCAAAGGCAAAACTGGTAAAGACCTGGTGCTCCCCCGTTGCCCAGCGGAAGGAGTCCTTAGCCATCTTGTAGGTGAGTCCTAAGGCCAGGAGAGTCAAAGTTGCCCACTTCCTGAGAGCCTGGGGAATCCTACTCAGAGCCCAGAGACCCTGAGAACAAAGCCTGAGTCCCACGAGCCCTGCTGCCTAATGCCTTTGGGCCCCCAACCCTTCAACTCTCTTCTCAGTGCTTCCAATTCCTGTCTCCCATGGTTCTCTTCCTTCATCTGTCTCCTGGGGTGGGAGTCTGACCACTGACCAGTTCAAGACTCCAAGCCCTTGTCCTATTCTAGCTATCTGCTAGTGGTAGTGCTGGGCTGCGGCACCTCAGGATTCACGAGGTCATCTGAGGATTCATGAAATCATGTGGTTATTAAGCCCCCATAATCACTGTACCCCTCCACCAATCCAGACACTCACCGATCCAGAAGTTCCTGGTCTCAAAGTCGCTGTCAGTCACCTCGTTGGTGGTTTCCAGATGGCCCAGGTAGAAGGCGAGGATGTCCTGCACTTTCTGGCTCCCGATCTGGGCTAGCACCCCGCCCTTGCCCTGCAACCCCCAGCCCAGGTCACACTGGCAGAGATCCCAACTGTGTGCACCACCTCTACCCACCTCCTGGCTTCTGAAAGCATGGCCCCCCAGCCTCTCCCGTGCCAGCTTCCTGTTGCTGGGGCTCAACTAAGAGCCCATAGGCCCACGGATGGCCCTGCCCTTAGAAAGATGTCCTAAGAGTCTTCAAATTGGTTGCTAACATTAATAAATCAAGAGATGCCAATGAAAATCTGGTTTTCTAGCTTGAAAAAGCTGGTTTCTGGGCACCTGACTTGCCATTTCTGTATGGCACCCAGCAGCCAGAGCTCAGTTAGGACAACTCCTTAGATACAGGTAGCGTGGGGCCTTGTCCCTGGCTGAGTAGCTTAGGTCATTAAGTGACTTCCTGGCTTCTAGGAACCTCTGCATCTGAGATCCCAGTTTTTCTACTAATGTGGAGAGTGAGGTCAGTGGCGGTTGAAGGAACTATCCATTTTGATCCTAGTTTGTGACCCTGGAGGGTCCCTGGGAGGGCAGGGGTCGGCCATCACCTGGCATTTCATTTTGGCTCCGTAATAGGTGTCTGCCTCCGAAGACACCATAAAGCAGTCTCCATCAATCCTCAGGTCACAGGCGTGGAAAGGAAAGTGCACCTTGGCTGGGAGGTGGGAGGGTGGCGGGAAGACTGAGTTTGTATGTGCCCACTTCAGAATGGGCACCCCCTCCCTCCCTGCCAGGGAGCTCAAGCTGCTCCTTCTTCTGGCCACCTACTCCAAACTGGAAGTAGGTGGGACTCAGTGATGTCCTGGGAAACATGTAACAACAATCTCTAGCCAGGTACTGGTAGCTCACACCTGTAATTCTAGCTACTCAGGAGGCTGAGATCTGAGGATTGAGGTTCAAAGCCAGCCCAGGCAGGAAGCTCCGTGAGACTCTTATCTCCAATAAACCAACAGAAAACCAGCAGTGGTGCTGTGGCTCAAGTGGTAGGGTGCTACCTTTGAGCTGAAGAGCTGAGGGACAAGTGCCCAGGCCCAGAGTTCAAGTTCTATGACCGACAAAAACAAAACAAAACAATTTCTTTCTCTCTCTCTCTCTCTTCAATTTATAACATTCATAGACTGTAACATTTGCCAATTTCAGTGGTGGAAATGTCTCACTGTTGCCAATTTCAAGCTATCAATGTGAGGTCACAGAAAGAAGAGTTGATAGGAGATGTGCTCAGTAATCTTCTGTGAGCTGGGAAGCTCAGATCCAGGACCCTAGCAAAGGGCATTCTGGGAAGGGATGGGGGCAGGACTTACTGGCACACTGGGCTCCCCCATAGCCGACATCACAGATACAGGAGCACTCCTCTTCCCGGAACCGGCCATGCACACACTGCATACTGCACCGCACTGTCCGGACAGGACAGCAGGGCAGAATGTGAGCCTCTAGTCACCCGGATCCAGGCTGCTCACACAGGCTGGTGGCACTGTCCCAGGGCCAAATCGGATGGCAGTTTGATTTCTCTGCATAGCTCAGCAAGTGGTAAGCAAGTGAATGTTTGTTGAGTGCATGCATGCAGTGTGCCAATAAGTACACGATCCACACCCTTAATCCATTCTCAGACTCTTACCACCCGTCTGACGCCACAGAGCAGGTATGTATACAGCCAGGCACACTTCCCTCTGGCCCCCTGAGAGCTACCTGCATAGGTGCTGGGCTCCTCACCTTGGCAGTACCTGCCTGTGTAGCCTGGAGGACAGAGGCAGCGGCAGGTGCTGATGTTGAGGCGTCCATTGTTTCGGCAACTCACGCGACATGGGTTCCTGGGGACCTCTGTTAAAATGAGGAGAGAGCTCAGACAAGTCACCTCTTCCTGGCAGACCAGACAGGTGGTTTTCTGAGTGCTTAAAGCTAGGGTTTCTGGGATAGTTCATTGGGCTGCTTCCCCCATCCCAGGGTCACCTGACCAAGTCCTCCTATGTCTACTGTTCCAAGAGGCAAACAGGCAGAGTGGAGCACTCACCACAGAGCCCCCCTGCATGGTCCCAGGCCTTGAAGCATCCGGAGAGGCTGGCCGTGCAGAGTGAACACCAGGCACCCTTCTTATAGGGGGCGATTGTCTTCCCGTCCAACTCCCAGTTGCCTCTGTGAGAGGAAGTACTAGAGGGGGCTCAAAGAGCATGGCCTTGGGTAGGGTGGGGCCTTGCTGCCTGTCCCATGGTCCCCTTCAGGGGGACAGGGAGCTGGGTGAGATGGGCGGATCTACTAGGAAAGAAAAGATGATCTCTACACGAATCCTGGGCAAATTCCCTGAAAGCTGGGTCATGCTTCCAAGAAGAGGAAGGCCTGAGCAAGCCCTGTTCTGTACCCTCTCCCACTAAGGGTATGGACCAAGGAATAAAGGGCTTTTGGGTGGGGAGAAGTGGACAACTTACCCTTGATGAAATGACCTCACCTAAACGCTCTGCAACCCACATCACAGGGACTTACCCAGGGGAGTAGGCACAGACGAAGGCTTCCATCACTGCATGGCCTGCAGAGCACAGATGCCATCCACAACCCACTTGGCTTGAGGTAGCCCACACCAGCTGCAGGGGACACAGTGGTTCAGAAACCCTATCACAGATTACCCGCACTCCGATCTGGGGGCCAGCAGCACAGGCAAGTGCATATCTGTAGGGTGGGGTGGAACAGTCTGTCATGAATGTGGGCAAACGGACAGCTCTCTGATTTCTCTGAGGGCCTCAGGAACAGCCCAGGAGTCTTGGCTGGGTCACTGCGATGGTGGGAAGGCTTTGTGAGTGAAGACTGATGGTTAGCAGATGGTGAAGGGAGGGGAAGTTATGGGCAGATGGAGGAGAGTAGAAAAAGGAGGACATCAAGGGCTTTGTGAGAGATTGGGAAACTAGCTAGAATGTTCTCTCTACAGCGTGCCTTTCTCCTCCCTATTTTGGGGGATCAAGCCAGGGGGATTCATGCTTATTAAGCAAGAACTCTGCCACTAAGCTTCATTCCCAGGCCAAAGTCTACTATTTCAATGTGAATTGGCAGCTGTTTACTGCAAGAGGTAAAGTCTTTTTTTTTTTTTTTTTTAAATTCAGGTCCTGGAGCTTGAACTCTGTGTTGGGCGTTGTCCCTGGGCTCCTTTTGCTCAAAGCTAGCACTCTACCCCTTGAGCCACAGTGCTATTTTTGGCTTTTTCTGTGATTAATTGGAGATAAGAGTCTTAAGGAGGGCTGGGAAGGTGGCTCAGTGGTAGAGTGCTTGCCTTGCATGCCTGAGGCCCTGGGTTCGATTCCTCAGCACCACATAAGCAAAAGGCAAAAAGCCGGAAGCAGCTCTGTGGCTCAAGTGGTAGAGCGCTAGCCTTGAGCTGAAGAGCTGAGGGACAGTGCCCAGGCCCAGAGTTCAGGCCCCACAACCGGACCCCCCCAAAAAAAAAAGAGTCTTAAGGAAAGCCAGGCATCATTGGCTCATACCTATAATCCTGGCTTTTCAGGAGGCTGAGATCTGAAGATTGTGGTTCAATGCCAGCCCAGGCAGGAAAGTGCATGAGACTCTTATCTCCAATAAACCACCAGAAAACTGGAAGTGGTGCTATAGCTCAAGTGGTAGAGTGCTAGCCTTGAACTGAAGAGCTAAAGGACAGTGCCCAGGCCCAGAGTTCAAGCCCCATGACTGACCCCCAGCTCCCCTCCTTACTCCTCCATCCCTGCCAAAAAAAGTAAAACTAAACAAATTGGAGGAAAAGGATAAATCCTATTTAGAACAAGGTATAACCTCTTTTGAGATGACCCAACCAGCTTTGGGTAGCTCACACCTTGGCTTCATCTCCTCACCTGAGTGTAGTGGGTGCAGGTGGCGTTGTGGGCACACTCAGTGGCTATGTGGCTGTACTGCTGCCCCTCTGCAAACCATAGGCTGACCACTTCAACAAAGGATGCTGAGCCTGCAGGCAGGAGCTGCATATTCCAGCCCACGTGTGGGGCACGCTGTGGAGCAGATGCCAGGCTTGGGGCTGGGGTACCACAGAGGGCTGCTCTAGCTTGAGCCAGATGAGCCAGGCTCTCGCTCCAGTCCTGGGAGTGGCAAAAACAGAGAGATCTTTAAGGGGCATTTGGGTGACAGGTGAGGTCTCTGGACAATGACTGAAGTCCCATTGTCTCCAGCAACACAGAGAACTGGATGAAGAACCTGACCTAGCTGTGTAACCCTGTGAGCTGAGTTCCCACTCTGCATGGGGCAGGGAAAGATCAAACAGGACCCCTGAAGCTCCTCAAGCTGTATTGAGAAAATGTATGCAATTGCCAGATGCCAGTGGCTCACGCCTGTAATCCTAGCTACTCAGGAGGCTGAGATCTTAGGATTGTGGTTCAAAGCTAGCCCAGGCAGGAAAGTCTGTGATTCTTTTCTTTTCTTTTTTTCTCGGTCATGGGACCTGAACTCTGGGCCTGGGCACTGTCCCTCAGCTCTTCAGCTCAAGGTTAGCACTCTACCACTTGAGCCACAGCACCACTTCCAGCTTTTTCTGCTTATGAGGTACTGAGGAATCAAACCTAGGGCCTCATGCATATAAGGCAAGCACTCTACCACTGAGCCAGCCCAAGTCTGTGATTCTTATCTCCAATTAGCCACCTAAAAGTCAGAAGTGGAGGTGAGGATCATTTGGTAGAGTGCCAGCCTTGAGCAGGAAAAACTAAGACAGTACTCAGGCCTTTAGTTTAAGCCCCAGTACCTACACAAAAACTGAACAAAATAACATATGGTTTCTGTCACCTAGTCCAGACTCCATCTCTGCCCAGGACTGAGTTCCTAACAGTACCAGCCCAGGTCACATGAAGGGTTTCTGCTGCCATTTTCTCCCATCTGGTAATATGAGGTGGCACTCTCTAAGCCTTAGAGACTGGATTTGTGTTTGCCTTTAGGTGAAGCTAGCCATAAAATAAACAGTTTCTTTATCCTATTTTCCTGGCCTCCCAGTGTCACACCCCAAGAGTACCTAGGAGTACTGTGGGAAGCAGAGGGTGTGAGAGGTGTCCTGCTTCAGCGATTTGACTCCAGCAGCTCAGCTCTGGAGCAGGTTCAGCAGCTTCTCCCACTAGAACCAGCTGATCTACCCTATCACCCTCCACTCCTCTCTGCAATCATTATCTCCAGGTTGCCCTGGTCCATCCCAGCCACTGAATTCCAACTGTGTGGCCTCCACCAGTCATTCAGTCTCCATGAGGCATGATGTACTCATCTGTAAAATGAGGGATAAGGTGTCTACACTAGGATCAGATTGTTCTGGAGACTGGTGTGTGGGTGTGTGCCTTTTTTGTTTGTTTTTGTCGGTCATGGGGCTTGAACTCTGGGCCTGGGCGCTGTCCCTGCGTTCTTCAGCTCAAGGCAAGCGCTCTACCACTTGAGTCACAGCACCACTTCCGGTTTTCTAGTGGTTTATTGGAGATAAGGGTTTTATGGACTTTCCTGCCCTGGCTGGGATACTGCCAGATCTCAGCCTCCTGAGTAGTTAGGATTACAGGTGTGAGCCACTGGCCCCTGGCTGGGTGTGTGCCTTTGCCTAGAATCTCAGTACCTGGGAGGCAGAGGCAGGAGGATGCAGGGTTTGAAGCCAGCCTAGGCTGGGGAGTTGTAAAAATAGTCGGGAAGGCTGGGAAGGTGGCTCAGAGGCAGAGTGCTTGCCTTGCATGCATGAGGCCTTGGGTTCAATTCCTCAGCAGTACATAAGCAGAAAATGCCGGAAGTGGCGCTGTGGCTCAAGTGGTAGAGCGCTAGCCTTGAGCTGAAGAGCTGAGGGACAGCGCCCAGGCCCAGAGTTCAGGCCCCACGACCAAATAAAATAAAATAAAATAGATAGTTGGGATGCAGCAGGCTTTACCTCAGGGCAGATGTTCATTGTGATTTTTACCTCTGCTGAGAGCTAGAGGGAAGACCTTACCAAAGCCGGGGGTTCAATCTTCTGTATGCACAGAGAACAGGTACTCTAGCTCTCTGTGGGCCCATAGGGGTGCTCAACACAAGATGTGAGGGAGGCTGAGTGGTAGGACCCCACATATGCCTTTAAAAATCTGTGATTTTTCTAGGTCTTTGACCAAATGGCCGTGAAAAAGGCACAGGTTGTTCACTAGCAGACCACAGTCAAGGTAGACAGCCCTTGGCAGGAGTTTTCACTAGCCGGTGTAACAGCCAGGAACAACCAGGCTACCCAGGACCTGGGCCTGGGGAAGAGCAGAACAGAGCTGCTCAGGGCAGGGAAAGGGGAAGAAACAACCCCCACCTGTCTGCCCCACCCCCACCTCCTGGGAAACTGACCCCAGAGCTCTCGAGGTCACCACCCACTGTGGCTGCCAGTCTCAGAACTGAGTTTATGGGATGCAGCCATGGGGAACCCTACCCGCCCCTACTTGCCCTCCTTCCTTGGCCTGTTCACATAGGCTGGGGTTGGTTGCTGGGGTTCCAAGCTATAAGAGCCCCAGGCTGACAACTCTAACTCTATAGCCTCAGTTAAGGTGGTAGACTCCCCCCCACCCAGTCCCCCTTGGCTCTTTTGATGAGCTGCAAATAACTGAAAGAACACTTTGGGAGAAGCCTCTCCTAGTTACCCAGATAAATCGTGAACACACAAAACCCTCTGCAAGCCAGGGTGATGCTTGTCTCTCCTTCTACCCCAGCCTTTCCTTTCTGCGGGACTCCTTTGTGCATCAAAGAGGGAATGCCAGCTTTTTCCATGTTTCCTGTTCTCCATGGTAACAGGATGCCAGGAGAAGGCCCAAGGACTAGGCTGGCCTTCTCCTGGGGAGAAGGACTTTTCAGAGATCTCAACAACCAGGGTCATTATTCCCCTATTGGGGAGGATGGGGGGAAGGGGACTGGCCATTCTTCCTTCCCTATCCAGGCGGAAGAGTATCTGACACTGGCTTGGCCTCCTGAGACCTCCAGCAACCCTGACTGGAGGATGTGCATGCGTGTGTGCGTGTGCGTGTGCGTGTGTGTGTGTGTGCGTGTGTGTGTGTTGGGAAATACTTACCAGTCTCTGCATGTTAGCTGCAGGGGGCTGGACCCGGCTCCTTAGACGGTTGTGTAGGGATAGGAGCAAAAAGCTCTCTTTCCTGCTGAGGGCTGGGGACCAAGAGAAAGGTCAGGCCATAGAGCAGGGATCAGTGGGATAACCGTAGGACACAGACCTGAGATGGGGAGGGGGTGTGGGTGAGAGGGAGCCCAGGGGACAGGCATGGAAGTAAGAGAGACAAAGCCAGGCATAATGCAAGACTAAGACACTAATAGGGAACAATGAGGAAATGAGGGGCTTAGCCCTGGGCTTGAAACAGCCATCTGGCTGGGGCTCTCAGTCATTGTGTCTACTCTAGCTGATATTCTTTCTTGTCCCCAACCCTGGACCAACCTGCTTCACCCTTCCTCCTCATCCCTAGCATCCATCCATCCATCCATCCATCCATCCATCCATCCATCCACCCATCTGGTTTCCTGGACTGTCCTGATGTGTCCCTTGTGGAATCACATTAGTACAACCCAGATATCAAGCTTGGAATCCATGTTCCAGAAGTTTCCTGGCACATCACACCCCCCCCTCTCTACAGGGCTCACAATGTTTCTTTCACCTCTCTTCCTCACACAGGTGTACCTTACCTCCAATCACTGCAGTCTGCTCTGGTAGCTGGAGTGGCTGCCCCTGTGCCCAGTTGATGCCAAGGAGACCCAGGAGCACAGTCAGGAGACCAGGCCCGTGGCCCTGGCCTCCCATCCCAAGGGAGAACTCGGGCTGCAGCATGGGCCTGTCCAGCACTGCAGGCACAGTCTGGCTTAGTTGTGCGGCTTACTTCCTTCCCAGGCTGGAGGAAGCTATTCTCAATCTTAAGGAGTCAGACTGTGTTGGTAGACAAAAGACAAGAAGCCAGGGAGCAATGAGTGTGTCTAAACAGTCTCCTGTGGTCAATGCTGTCTTGCAAAGAGGCAGCTCCCTGGGATGCTTGTATTCTAGCCTCTGTGGCCTAGCCAGCCTATCCCACCAACAGACAGAGCAGTGTGCACTGACCTCCTGGCCCCTGCTAATCATTGTGGGATTATTAGCACCCTCAGGGAGCCCCTAGAGACCTTGCTGATTGGATAGCAGACATTCCAGGGCTGCGGATTAGTGACCGATGACTGTACCCTTGTTGGCTGTACCCTAGCTGGGATTGTGTCGTCCAAGCCCATTGGCAGCCTCTACTCCCTAGCCCAGGGGTTCAGGAAGGAAGCGGGGCTTCAGTTGTGGACCCTGTGAGGTAGGACAGGTACTGGGTGAAACCCCAGGGGAGTTCTTTCCTTTCTTGGGAAGCTCTCCCCATGCCCCACCCCCTAGCTATGAATTAAACATAGGTAGGAGGTAACCATATACCAGACAGGGGCCATCTGTGGGCTTGTAGGGGAGTGGGTTGAGGCTGTATCTTCAGGAGAAAAGGAGCTCTTTTCGGAAGTCTGTCTCAGCAGGGCTGAGGCCCGTCCTGATGCTCAACATGACAGTCCCCATCAGTTTTCCTCATCCTTTTCACTGCAGGCCAGAGAAGGCGAGGCCGGTGGGAAGTACAGCCCATGATGGAGGCTCTTGGCTGACTGAGTCCTGCTGGGAACAACTATGCCATGGTGTAGAAGTGCAGGAAATTGGTATAAAGTTCCAGGCCTGGTTGAGGCCTACATAATCCCACCAGAATCACTGAAGTGGATGTACACTGTGGCTCACATTTCCTAGAAAAATCAAAGACTGATCTGCATGGGTCACAGCCATATGCCCACATTCCTCTCAAGGCAGGTCCAAGTTTATTCAGCTATCCCAAAGTAGAGCTCTACAAACCAGCTACTTCTTTCTTCTGGAGTTGGTGGGGCCCCTGGCTCCTGAACCAGTGCTCTCTCTAGGTTGGGAATCAACACTTTGGAAACTCTACTGAAATGAAAGTGGGCTGCATGGCTTCCAATGGAGCTGCTGATGGAATGTGGATATCATCATGCGTGTCAGGAAGTGCAGGCAAAGCCAGCCATAGGACCAGCAGCTGGACTGGGTATCTAAAGTGTCTTCTTCAACCAGAAGACCTGGCAAACTTAAACCTGGCACAGCAGAATTCCAGCCATGGTTCATCATTGCCAGCCTTTCCATAGAACTTACAAAACTGTCACAAGAATCCTACGCACAAGTAGACATGATTTTTTTATTTTGGTCCGGTCATGGGGCCTGAACTCTGGGCCTGGGCGCTGTCCCTCAGCTCTTCAGCTCAAGGCTAGCGCCCTACCACTTTGAGCCACAGAGCTGCTTCCGGCTTTTTTATTTTTGCTTATGTGGTGCTGAGGAATCAAACCCAGGGCCTCATGCATGCAAGGCAAGCACTCTACCACTGAGCCACCTTTCCAGCCCAACATGATGCCTTTTTTGAGGGGGCTAGTCCTGGGCCTTGAACTCAGGGTCTGGGATCTGTCCCTGAACCTCTTTGTGCTCAAGGCTAGCTCTCTAGCATTGACCTACAGTGCCACTTCTGGCTTTTCCTGTGTATTGGAGATAAGTCTCATGGACTTTCTTGCCCACACTGCCTTTGAACCATGAACTTCAGATCTCAGCCTCAGTAGCTAGGATTCCTGGCGGTGAGCCACCTGCGTCTATCTTTGCCTTCAATTTTATGTATCAGAAAGGCCAGAATGGAGGCCTGACATGGAATATCTTGTGGGAGCTCAGTAGCCAGTGAAGAGGGTGTAGGTGTAAATCATGCGGGGTGTGCAATCTGAGCGGCTTGGTGGCCCTGGGCTCCGGAGAGCTTTACCGCCGCTTCCTGGATGTGAAGCCTTTCTTTCTGTCTTGTGTGCTGCTGGCCTCCGGTGGTCAGCGATTACACGAAGGCTGGGGGAAACGGCGTGGCAAGATGAGCTTTCACTTCAAGAATGGGAAGCGAGGTGGCCACGTGGAGCAGGGTAACTGTGGATGCAAAGGAAACCCTGGTGTGCCTGGTCCGGGCCTGGCTCGCACGGCGGGACGCGGCTGCGGAGGGCAGAAACCTGGGCGGGGGCCGCGGGCGCCGAGCCCAGGCCCAGACCAACTCGAGGCGGAGGAGGAGCGAGACGGCCCGGGAGGTCGTCCGCTAGCTCCGCCTCCGGCTGCGGCCCGGAGGCCCGAGGCACATTCCGGGGACAGCGCGAGCGCCGGCCTCCACGGGTCTGCGCTGCGGACCCCCGGGAGCCGCACCGGGCCAGGCCTCGCTCCTGCTCAAACCCTCGCGGAAAAGCGCAGCCTCCCGCCCACTCCCCCGTGGGCGGGGCCGAAGCCCTGGGCGGAGCCTCGCGACACCCAAACAAGCCCACGTGGAGGGGCGGGGCCTG